AACTTCCTTCTTTTTTTTTTTCTCGCTAAAAACGCAACCTGCGGATATTCAGGAGGTGAATCGGGGAAGGGGTTCCGTGGAACGTCGTACCGATATCACCGTTTCTGCGCGCGATGCCCTAAATCGGCCATCGACGTGTCCTCGTTGTCGCTCGGGACGTCCCACGGTGGGCCAAACCGCGAAACCAATTCGAAAAATATTTAAAACGAAGGTTCTTGCGAGGGAAGTCTCAGAAATTACCATTAGCGATCAAAAAAGAACGTGAGTGTGATTTTTATTGTCGTCAAACCATGTCAATTTCATGATAGTTTTCTCTGGCATCAGTTTTTAAATAACTGAGGGAACCATGGGTCGAAAAAGACTGGAGGAACTTTCTAGGGTTAACAGCTTGATATAACATTCCATAATTATAATAATTTTTTTTTAGCAAGCTTTCAGTGAGCTTCATTTAATTTCTGTTTTAAGTACTTCTGTACTCTGTTTGAATTTTTTAAAAATCCAAGATTCGATTTTTCTATAAAAACAATTTTCAATCAATTTTGTTGTCAAGCTCACTTCTCTACTCTGTTTGAATTTTTTAAAAATCCAAGATTCGATTTTTCTATAAAAACAATTTTCAATCAATTTTGTTATCAAGCTCGCCCTGTACCTCCAAGGTGACTAAATCGCATGTTTTCTTCTTGGAAATCTACAAATATGGAGAGTCTCCCACACGAATTATCGACGAATGAGAATCGAGAGATGACGTAGCATACGTAATCCTTAAACATTGCCAAATCGAATCGGTATCAGCCCCCTGGACGTCGGGCAGACGCGTATAATACTGAAATATGAGTATTTAACTATAGATTAAGGAAATAATAAGTTTAAGATAAGTTAATCCTCGGCAGATAAGGAGAGAAAGAGAGTATGTCGGGTATCCCTACGGCGGTGGACATTCTTTCGAGGGGCGAGGGTAACATTGTGTGCACGTAGTGCGATGGTGTGTACGTCAGACATTGGGGGGTTGCACATCCGAAGGAGGGGGGGATTCCCAGGGGACTTTTCGATTCGATTCGGGATGGAAATCATTACGGCAGATTTGAATGACTATCTTCGAATTTATCTGCGCCCTTCTGTACTTCTTTTTTTCTCTCTTCTTCCTCGTTCCACCGTCATTTTCGTAGACTTGTCGCGAACGACATTACGATTTTATTGCCAAACGCGAAAGTCTCTCCTTTCGATTCTGTTCCCCGTGTTACGCGAGGTTTATTCCGCGATAACGAACGTTAATGTCTGCGGCGAGGCGTAGGGGTAGCTACCCCCCAATAATCGGTCGAGGAAAAATAAAAGTTTCGTTCAATCTTTTCAAATTTATTCTCTGCTCTAAACTAAATAAAATTAATATTTTTTATTTAAGAATACTATTTTAATTAGAAATCACCAAGATGACACAGTAAAATTAGATAAGAATATTCACAATAATCTTTTAATCGTTTTAGACTGAGAAACAAGTAAAATTGAAGAATAGTGTTAACTCCTTGTAATTATACTTTCAAACAAATATAGTTATTCAGATCAGCACAGTTTTGTGTGCACAATTCTTATAAACAAATCTAATATGTTTCAGGTTTAATTAAATTCAAATTGTTACTAAATATTTTAAATATTTTATTTTTATATTCCGTCGCGAAGCAAGTCTAATTAATTTTATTTATATTTCATTTAGAATCCAGTGGAGTTTCTCAACAAACTTTGATTGGATCAATGTGGACATAAGTCACGTTTCTTCCTAAATTTTCATTTCAAAAGTAGTGTGAACATAGGTATATATTGCACCAATAGTAACTTCATAAATTGCAACTCTTATTAGTTACTTTATAACATCGGACAGATAGATCGTACATCCAAGCTGCTACTATACAAAACATGCGGTGATTCAACTATAAACATAACTTGAAACGACAGTATCGAAGAATCGAGTCAGCAAAAGTGTGTTCGAGTTTGTCTGCAGTGGATAGAGACACATTAGGAAAAGATTCGAAAACAGCGGAGTGGGCGTGTTATCGCTATTAATCCTTCGTAAGTAATTCCCGTGGGAATTGAAGGGCAGCGGAGAGGCCCAAACGTTCCTATTGGGACCAAAGGGCGACGGAAGAAAGGCCCCCGAGGGGCTGATGCTGACTGCTGGTATCCCCAGGACGAGTTGTCTGACGTTGTTTCCGACCTCCCTCTGCTTGCTTGAGCCAACTACCCCTTGAGACATTCGACGACGTAACCACATAATATTCAATGGATAAGTACGACCGCGAAAGAGGTGTAACGTGGTAGCGTGTGGGATCCCAAATGTACGACGCCATGTACGAAGCTTCGAAATCTCGAAAGTATCCTCCCCCCACGTACAGCAAACGACTTCCAGTCGAGCAGAATTGTCGGAAAATTGGGGATACAGAACTGTTTTTGATCGAAATGTAGAAAAGCGTATTCGAGTATTAGATTAATAACATAATTGGTAATTTTATTGTAGAGTGCTTCTCATTTTGTTGGTTTGTAATCTTCTCTGGAACGAGGGGTAAAATAATCGAGACACTTTTCTGTGGTTATAAGGAAATAATTTAAAATGTAGGAATAAGATTTACTCGACGAAATTTCCACAGTTTTTCCATTATTTTTAACGAATTTTAAACGCACGTTTCACGTTGAAACTATACCAGCGAGTAAATTTTAATGGAGTGTACGGAGCTCTGTTGACTAGCTGTACGTACTCGCGTACATTATCAAATAAGCATTGTCGATTCCAACGACACCGAAGACAAACAGGAACACGGCGTTTCGCAAGAATGAACGTAGTAAAAAGTAATTGCTCGAAATTGTTCGTAAATGCGACAGGTACGCAAAATCAACACATGTCGTACCAGTGGTAATGGTCGCCGAGCAAATAATATCGCATGCCGTATCATAAGCTTTGCATAACCTACCCGATGATCGTTACGTGTATAAACAACAATTATTATACCACGGGTGTCGTGTACATACAGCCTCAAATTACACAAACAATGTCACCAATTTCAAACAAGCCCATTCGTTTCTTCGAAAACTGTAATACTATTCTATAACCATTAAATTAGAATTTTAATATTATTTTTACTAAGATTAAAAACGTGTCTTTTGAATTATATTATTTTTAAAATTTTAAAAGGAAACTTTTGATGATGTCAGACACCATTGGTAGAAATAATGTTAAATATAATCATGAGCAGGAAAAAATGTACAAGGTCTTTTTAAATACTTGTTATTTCATTTGAAATTTTCTCCAGGGTTAAATATTAAAAATAAAATAGTGATTTGAAATTATTTTATGAAAATGATGGCGTACGGTGTGGAGAAAGAATCCGCTTGTAAGACGAGCGAAGCTCCTATCTTAGAAGCGGGGTTAATGCGTACAAGGCAGACACTTATGTTAATTATTCTCGGTACAAATAAGATCGCGTGTTGCTCAACTATTAGAGGCCGTAATGGTCAAAGGGCACGTAACGTTTTATGTCTCCTTTCGCTTTCCCGTTACCAGGAATATGTACTCTTCTCCCCCCTCCCGCTCCCTTCTTTCTTCGTGTTTATTCTTGCCCCTCTATATTCTAGGGTTGAAGTTTTTTACTTTGACGGGGGATGCTTCCCTGATTTACCTACCACCGCGTATACAGTCATCGCGGTTCGTTTACGTTGCAATTCGGTTATTTCGTTCGTATAAATATTTGATGCCGCTCTGGAAGTCGCACCTAACTGCCGAGGCGAAATGTATTTCATACCGTTACCACCGTTCTGCGCTATTCAGCTGCTCTTGCACCCCGAGTACCAACGTCAACCCGACGAATTCCCTGGGACACTGTATTTCAAAGTATTTACATTTTATCGCTTCTTCGTAAACTCTGGGCAATTTTGATCGTTACCCGCGACACGGAATTAAAAGAAACCCGCCTATAAATTACGCAACCTATACCATTGATACGATCAAAATGTTCGAACGGTGAAATTACTTTTACATAAATCCGCCATAGTCTTGTTTAATCACATGTACCATTCTATAACCAAAATCTTATCAAAAACAGTTGTTTGTTTTCATTTTCTATTTGTTAGCCGACATTTTTATACAATTCAATATGGACTTAATTTGATAAAAATGTCGACTAACAAATAAAAAATGAAAAGAAACAACTGTTTCTGATAAGATTTCAGTTATAGAATCTTATATGTACATCGACTAAATTTTATGCCACAATACCACTTATTTTAACGAATACACAGCAGTTTGCAATAAATTCTATTATAAATAGTTTCATGTTACAAACAAAAATTTGTCAGCTTCGGTCAATCGTAATTAGGCACATTTTCAATTGCCATCGAAAAGAAGTTCGCGAGTTTTGAATAAAAATGTATAGACACTATAATGGTAGTTGTACGCATAAAAAGATGTGGTCACAATGTTCCATGTTTTAAAAAAATAGAACAAAGAGGTTTAAGAAATGATCTGGAGCTCGTGTTTATTTGTTGTTCACTCGTTTAAGGGTTTTCTCTTGCCAAGATCAAAGGCTATCCGCCCACACTTTATTATTCCAAGACTAATCCGTATCTTGTACCCCAACTGTAAGTGAATGAGTGCAGGGTAACAGCGCGTTGTCATTAAATAAAAATCAATCAGGAGGCTGTGAAGGAGGCTTAACGGATTTGCTTAGGCCGCCCATGGTTTGCTGATCCTACGGGGGACTTGCCGACCTGCATGTGTACGGTTCTTTCGATACCCTCGCGTGTTTTCCACCATTTTCTAAATTATCGAACACAGCAAACAACAAAATGTATCAAACGTGATTCGTCACGATCAAACTTTACATCGAATCTGATTCTATTATTACCTGTATAACGATGCTTGACAAAATTATTTTAAAATTAACGAATCGTTTAATAACTAATGAAGTTACTTTGAAATTAATAAATCGATGTGACTGTAATTTTATTTTCTGTTTTAGGCTATCATGTACGAGGGACAAGATAAGAATCCTGAGATGTGCAGAGTCCTCTTGACTCATGAGGTGATGTGCAGGTGAGTTTCTGCGATAACTATTGGAAGAAACAATCACTTTCGCGAGCATTCGCGTCTGCAAAAATTTGTTTTCAAACAATCATAACGATCTGTCAGATTTATTTTTGTGATCTCGCCCAGATTTATTTTCATCGACGTCTCAACTTGAGAATTAATATTTTTAGTTTCTTAGAGAATGCCACCGGTTTATGGTAACGTAAATGTGTCAGAGAAGACAATAGTAGTTTTGAAACATGAACTCAAGCCAACTGAAATTGTCCACGAGATCAAAGCTTTCTTTGAAATAATTGTAAAATTCAAGAATCCATCTAAACTTGCTTTTCCTTTCCTTTCATACTGAAATGCCACCCATTAAAGTAGACAATACCATAGTAAAAGTATAAATAATTCCCTGGAACGATCCAAGTATTGGAACAATAGCCACACATAGGTTAACAGTAACAAATGCACCTTGAAATTGTAATTTTGGTGCATGCAAATATGTATGCAAGGAACGGAGAGTATCTGCTCGCTATGCAAGCAACTACCCTTACGGTGGCGAACCATAAACGCGGGGGTACAGTCATTCTTCGGGGGTGGCTGACTCATTGACCCATGGGATTTCGGGCTGACTACTCTCCGCCCCCGAACTTGCGAAGTCTCAAGGGTTCTAGTAGTTTTTAGACGGTCTCGAAAGTTCTGACCCTCCTGGACCCATCAATCGAATCGGGTCTGACAAAGCTTATGCTTTCCGCGAACGAACTGTTCGAAAATTATGCGTACCCATCACTGACTCGTTTCTGTTCCAGTCGGTGTTGCGATAAAAAAAGCTGCGGAAACCGAAACGAAACGCCAAGCGACCCTGTGATCATCGACCGGTGAGTAACACTTCTCAACTTCTTCCGTAACGTCTCTTTCTACTCGTCTCTATTATATAACCAATCAGACGCCATCTTACGAATTTTTAAATAATACAAAATGCTCGTGAATAACCAAACTTGAAATATAAATTTAGAGCTTCGAAACAGTAAGACTTTTTCTTTGAAAAGTGATCTTCCAGTATAGCGACATGTGTTTGCGTTTGCACTGCAAGCAAAACCACCATTCGTGCCAAACAATTGTTAATTCGTCGAATAATTTTGTAAAATAAACCGTTCGCCATGCGTCTATGTGCGTATTCTATACCATTCTATACTAAGAATAAATAACAGAGAAATGTATCGTTTTATTCGAAAAATCTCCGATACTTTTTCATTTGCACGGTAAACAAAAGTCGTTCGAATATGCTGCCATGGTATATTTAAATGTAAGAACGTAGTACAATTTACGAACATATAATTTCAATCAACCATTCGATATTTCATCTTTGTAAAATAAATTGTTTCTTGTACAAAGGGTTTTAAGAACCAGTAGCTGTAATAATTACTTTTGCTCGTTCGTTGTACTTGAATCGATGTTTGCGTGGAATCAAAGTACCAAGATGGACGCCAGTGCCCGATAGAAAGATCTTTTACGAGGGAATAGAATCGTCCTTGTCAAAGGTGGGTGTATGGTGTCGTATTATTCGTTCAACGTCAGGAAACGAACGCGTATCGTTGAATATGAAATTTCATAGAAACATCAACGGGTATGATACTCGGTTTACCGCCCTCGGTATCATCGTTGGCAACGATCTGCGAAATAAGGGCCCAGATAACTCGTTCTTGAAGATACCCAACGACGAGATAGCGTCGCGTACCGTCAGAACTAGAAACCCAGGATATTTAGGCTTGCAAAATACATTTCCTACGAGGTGTGGCGAGGCTGCTAGGTAGCAGAACACTCGAATACTCAGGCGTACTTATACCTCCTCCACCTACATAGTGCTGCTTGTCTTTGGAAATACAGACACACACACTCGTTCTCTCACACACTCTCTCTCTCTCTCGCTTGCTCTCACACGCAAACACACACACACGCAAACTGACTAACACGGGAGTGGTAGGGTGAGCCTGATATCTGAATAGTCTATAGAGTGTCCTGAGATAGGAACGGTAGGAAGGAAGAGGTTTCCCGCGGGACACAGGCCGAGATAGTCTTCAGGAGGACATCTTGTGCTCAGGGGTGCTCAACCTCCGGTTTTCAATACAACGGGCGTCTCGGAGCTTTCATCCCCATCCACGGGATATGTGTTATACGCAGGAGACAGGCAAAGCCTACAAGGCTTGCACATAACTATTTTTCTGCGCCCTGCAGTCTTTTCCGTATCCCTGCCACACAGGATTTAAGTGCAATGTCCTGCCATAGGTGTTATTTATATAGGGTTTTTCCAATAACACCGATAGAACTTTGAATCGAAATAAAACGGAAACTACGGGAGATAATCTTCTGCTCGGTGTTTCACTTTTAAGGTACGCTCGGTTATACCATGGATATGTGAAAATTTAAATGACCACCGCGATCGCATTCGGTTGAATCGGGCCAAATATTTCGCCAATAACACGATCTTTGTTTGGAGATCGTCGACAGTTTGTGGTTTGTTGGAATTAACGAGAGACTTAGTGTCATCGTTTCTTTGTCAATAGAAAAAGGAATTCCATTGTAGTTTTGCATTTGTATCGGTAAAACAGCGTTAAAAATCTGTAATTGGCCTCTGTAGTTACTAAATATATAAGGGAATGCGATGTTTCGAACGATTTTATATTAACGAAAATTGAGACGCAACACTGTTCGAAGTATTGAATTTTAAACAACAAAGATACACACGTTACATTGTCGAGATTTTATTTACGTAAGAATTTGTTATTAGCTGTTTCCTTGTTTCACTGATGATATTAACAATGATTTGTGTTTTAATCAAGCTTATACGGTTGTGTTACGGCGTTAGTCGTAATAAATTTACGTCAGAAACCTATCCGGCGAGGCATTAGAAAAATTAATTTCGAAATTGTTGGTTCGGCATATGGCATGCACGCAGCAAAGTAACATCGTATAAACAGTGATATAATGTAAATGCAGCCACGTTGCGGTCGCGTGTCACATCGACCGCCACCCTAGACTACGTCTCTGAGCTTAGTTTGTGGTAGATCGTGCCGGACGTAAAGTAAATGAACGATCCATAGGATTAGAAGATTGACTTAGCATGCAGATTATGTTTATCAAGCATTTGCACTAATAATACTCGCGACAGTTCCTCGAACCTATGTTTAACAGAATTAAAATTCTCAATTAAATTCATATTACCACGAAACTATAGTAAAAATCAACGATTGGCCAACGACACGTTTCTGGGAAACTAAATGCGCAAATATTGCTAAATTTAAACGTTCATCGAGCATACAAGTCGCTTCAAATAATAAAATAATAACCTGAGTAAAGTATATATATAGTACAGAGAAATAAATCAACGAATTACGAGAATTACGAATAATTTTGTTTATAATAAGATTATCGAGTCCTTTCTGAATTGGCTCTTTGAAAGAAAGATTTATTCAGTACTCTTTTAAATTACTTATAAAAGTGATCAGGCATCCGCCATATTAATGAAACTCGTAAATATTTCTTTCCCTTTAATAAATAAAATTTAGATGTTTTTAAGATCAAATATTTTAGGTGGAAATAATTTATTCTAAATTTTCATAAATTTCAAATTTCTCGATACGTTGCCTCAGATATTTAGCAATTTTCTGGAGATATTTTTCGCCTGTTAAAACGCTGCCATTGGTCTATTTCGAATCGTTAAATGAAAATATATTACGAAACACTGGCAGTGCATTCCGATCAGTTTTTTTTTTAAATTGGTCGTTTGGGAGTCAGAGAATTTTTAACGCTTTTTTACTTTGGCGGCCATTAAAATTAGCCTCGGTTCCGCGGGAGATCGACGCTCGTGTAGCTTGTTGGAATATATGTATGTATACATCGGCGGGCTAATAGATTTTCGGTCTCGAACAAAACCGCAATGCAGAGCGCGAGGGCCCGTTCGAGAGAATGAACGAAGGGTATCAATGCCACTTTGATTGAGACGGTCCCGGTCGATTGTGACATGCTCACTCAACTGTGCAGAAAGTACAACGCAGCCCCCATCAATCGTGTTTATCTGACTAAAAAAAAAAAGAACAAAAAAACAAAGGCGGATTCTATACCTAAGCGTGGCCATTTTTTCACCCTATCACTTTCCCTCAACGAACGTCGAAGGAAACAGTCCGACAGCGGCCAGCAAAGACATTACTGCAATTAAAATCGGACCATTTAAGCCATTTTAAGAAAACCAATTCCAATATTTTCGTTTGGACATTCGATGACAAATAATAGGATATTAAAGACTGAATCTTTTAAAAATTGGTACCATTTTTTCACGAATTATATAAAGTCATTGAAAAGTCGTATTATTTGATCGTTTCTTTACTGATTTATGACGATATTCTACGACATATTGTTTTGAGAATAGAAGAATTCTTTTGTTCATTGACCGATACTCCTTTTCATTTATTTTCACATAAATTCGTTTTCATTAGACTCATTTAGTAGTTTTTGATGCTTAGATAGATTTTTTAAATTTCCATTTACCATTTACCAATATAATGGCTCCATATTGTTTGTAGAATTACAAGAACGAATAATGAAGAATATCAAAGAGTTTTGGAATTTTATCCATCACAGTACCAATAAATCCTATGGAAAATGTATGAGGAATAAACGTTAGGTGAATTTATCGAAACAATACAAAATATTTTACAACAAGAAGTTTATAACAATCGTTGAGATGCTTTACAGAACGAAGTTTTATTTGTTATTCGAAATGATTTTTGCCTAACACTGGCAAACAGCATTTTTCTTGAAAAGGGTAACAATTCATTGTTTACATAAATATTTTCTAGCCATAACAATGAACAAGTCAAAAATGAAGCAAACCTATAACATTGGCCAACAGTGTATATTACACTCTTCAAACGTTTGTGTAAGAAACGTTTCCAGTGCTCTTTCTCCAACTTGACATTAAAAATGTATTGTCTCGTAGTTTGGTTGTTGGACCGATTGATCGATAGCGTCGCATTGATCAGCAACATGGAGACGCACCGCGAGAATAGTCCTAGAGAAGCCGGTATTAGACTCGGAAACCAATTAACATGCATAATTAAAATGGCATTGTCGTGGCCGTGCAACGCCAGGGGCTCGCTCTTCCGTCGACTGACGAATCTCCCGGGACAAACGCCGTTCCATAATTACGAAAATCCTCTCCCCCCCGTCCACGGCCAGTTCCTCGATCCACCGTGTCCTTCCTTCCCGTATCACTCTTTCTCCAATTGCTGTCGCTGCGCTCGTAACCCTCTCGAAAACGCGACGCGGGGAAAAAAATCGGGCATCGGGTCGTCCCGACGCGTAGCAGAGCCGATAAAAGCAGTTCCGGCCATTCGTCGTCGAGCCGATTGGTTAACTATATTTTGCCCGGTGGTCGAGCCCTTAATTTCGGTACATCGATCATAGCCCTCGACCATGGCACTCCCGGCCCGCTGGTGCAACCGTGTCCTCTCCGTTCGTTCGAGTTTGCGACCCTCAACGCGACCGACGCGCCTATCTGCTGTGCCCTTCGTCAATTTGACGGATTCCATTTCGGTCGTCGCGCGACGACGATCGTTTCGTTTCCCTGGACGTATGGCCTCTTCGAGGGGACGACGCGACCGAATTTTTCACGGGGAAAATGGCGCCGCGGGCCGATTAATACCACGATCAACGCTCCCTCGATCACCCGAAACGGACCATTTATTTATTTCCGGGGCACCGTTTGAAAAGTCAATCGGCCGCGGGGATAATTTGTTTGGGAAACGTGAAGTTGCAAAGATATCAAAGATATTACGCGCCACGTCGTCTTAGGACACCTCAATTCTCGCGAAATCATTCG